TCCAGTTTCTTTTCTCATTTAATGCTTCGTAAGTTTGTCTGTGAATGTTGGCTCTCGTCTTCAAGTGATGTGCTGAATGATTAACCATTGGCAAGGGGGGAACATCCTATCACATGATGAGTCTATGTTGTGATTGCCATGATGGGGTCACACATGCCTTACCCCAAGCCAGACATCACCCAGGCACAAAATAGATGGAAACATGTCTTAGCTATTTAAATAATTTTTACCTCCCCTTCCCACCCAACTGCTCTATTTCAGAGACATCTAGTGGGTGCAGTTTTTAAAATCCACCTCACAGTAGTTAAAAGAAGCAAATGTGCCTAAGGATATATATATATTTTTTTTTTACTCGGAATCACTTGTTCTTTGATGTCAACAAATATAGAATTTAACTTGTAGGGGAAACCTTGTAGAGTGTAGCACTATTCTCAGGCATTAAATGTTGATCTATTTAATATCCCATTTTCTAGATCAGCCTGTGTGACTAAGTTGCTTGCAAACTTGCAAGTATATGACAATAAGAGAGATTTAATTTATCATATATTGCTGAAGCATCAAGAAATAAAGAGATGGAGTAGTATGAAAGATTTACAAGTTACACATCTTGAAATAAATGCTGATGATTTTTAAAATTTAAAGACTACCTACGAATGAGAGACTGAAGTGGCAGTGCAAGCATTTAGCACACATCATAGTAAGACAGCCTGAAGCCCTTCTTCACCCTGGCTTTGGTTACAGTGAACAGGCAGTCCATGGCAGATAACCCAACTCTTCATCCTATGCTCATCACGGGAATGGTAACATCTAGCAACTGAATGGAAGATCTGTTACCTCTGAGCTACCCAGAAACACTTTCATTTTTAATCATACCTGACCCAACTGAGATCTGGTTCTGTAAACATCAGCTTTATAGGGCTCTTCGTAAAGTAAAAAAAAAAAGTAAAAAAATTGATGTTGCTTTTCCCAACAACAATTTTTTTAAATGGAACCCTCCCGACACTTCAGTATGTATCACCAACTAATACTGTTGAAAAAGTAGAAGTAAACCTCGAAAGAATCCTCTGGCGACGGTCCTCCCTTCTTCCTAATGCTGCTCTATCTTGATCAGGATTAGAAAGAAAACTTAACACACCAGGCAATTGAAAGGAGATATAGCACTTTATGACCATTCAAGAACTCAAAAGTAGTATCCGGAAAAAGAGACAGGAATGTGGATAGCAAAGACTACTTCAGCTACAGGAAACCAGGACTAGTTTTGCTTGGCTATTACATGGTGTGAGCGGAGCCGAATCTTCCAAATGGAGCAGTGCCTTGAAAGGAGCTTCATAATGACCTTTTAGATAGGTTTTGAGATGGTGGAACCAGTATCAGCAATAAGCATGATCTGTTCCATATTTCAAATATTTGTAATTTAACTTGCTTTAAATAGGAAGAGATTTATGAAAGATTCTTCTTTCTAAAATTTCTTGTAATCAAGGACAGCTGCCACTACATTAACCACCAACAGTTAGATAGACAATGCTAAGATATTTCTTTTTACCAGTGGCTTTTGGATACCGACATGATCATCCAGCAACACATTTTCTCATTATTTCTCATTCATGTCTGTCAGCACAAAGGGAGAAAAAAAGACTTTCAGCAACAATGAAAATATTTAGTTGGACACCCTTCATGTCATCTGATGATTACTCTTTTGGATGAACTTGTAGGTCACATGTCACATTGCACAAGAATATGAACCTCTCTGACATTGCATCATAGGTATTAACGAGGCTGCTGCTGATGCAAGCATACCGGTGGAGCAGAAACACTTGACGGAGGATAAGGAACAAGTGGAAGATCAGACAGGAAAGAATATCAAAACTGATGATAGCAATTTGCAAGAAGCTGCAAGTGATTCCAATAGTGTAATTGGCCAGAAAGAAGGAATTGAGTGCATGAAGGAAAGCAGTCACGGCATAGGTAAGGCTTGAATTTTTGTTTCTCTCGGAAAGCATTGATTGAGAATTTAAAAATAATAGTAAGAAGAATATGGTAATGGTGAAAATAGTAATGATAATGGGTATAATAGTAGCATTAGTAACAGGGATTATGATAGTGAAGTTAATAGTGTAATATAATTAGCAATATTATTGTTATTATTAGTATATCATTATTATTAATATTATTACCTGTATCAATTTGATCGTTCACATCTTTTTCTCTTTATAAGTAAAAAGGGATCATTAACTCGTACTAAATACATGGTTACACAATTGAAATAAATTTTGGGCTTTGCAGATAAAGTAGATATTATTTTAGGACTTGTTTTGTAGAATCAACACTAGGGATTCTCAACTTGAGGTCCGTGGATGGGCTTCAGAGGATCTGTGAGGATGAGATAGAAAATAACACTATATATCGCTACCTCATTGCAAAAGGGTCGTAACTCCAAATTCCTGATTTTTTAGGAGACGCATTTGAAAATTGCTAAGTCCTATGAATTTGATCATGTTTCACAAAACAACAAAACTTAGCATCTTTATTAGGTGAATATAAAGATGGTAAGTTTTGTTGTTTTGTGAAACATGATCAAATTCATAGGACTTAGCAATTTTCAAATGCGTCTCCTAAAAAATCAGGAATTTGGAGTTATGACCCTCTTGCAATGAGGTAGCGATATGTATGAGGCAATTGAATCTCAATATGTAAAGTACATGATACACATTGCATGCAAAGCTGTGCTTATGTAAATTGAATCCCTGATCTTGACTGTAATGATAATGAGGCTCAATATCAAGTCATGGAGGTGGAATGAGGAAGCAACAGTTTCTCCTTCAAATATTCACTAGATTTATTTTGTGTGGATGTTAAACTTCAACCTCAGTTACTGTTAACTCTTTAATTATCTACAATTTTTTTTCATTCTTTTAAATCACTCTACCAATTCACAGTTATTTTGTCTAGTACTTTCTTTTTAATCACTACCACCAGTTCATTTCTTTTACATGCATTACACATTCCAATCTTTTCCACGTTGATAGTCTCAGCTAATAACAATTTTTCTTTCCTTTTTTCTTTCAGCTGACAAGTATGGATCCTATATTAAAGTCACATTATCTGGATATTTCCTGTGTGAGGTATGAGTTCAAAGGATGGTAAGATAGATACTGTAGCTCCTTCAGTTACCTAGAAAACCTTTACAACTTTTTATATAACAAATGAAATAAGTTATCATTATTCTCATGATTGTTTTTTTTTTTTAATGGTGTACATGAGTGAGTGAGTGTGTGCGTGTGAGAGAGAGAGAGAGAGAGAGTGTGTGTGCGTGCGTGCGTGCGTGTGTGCGATCATGCATGTGTATGCTTACCATGTGTGAATATGTGATATGTGTATGCATAAGTATGAGCATGTGAGGGTGTGTGTGAGGTAGCTTATTTAATACCAAAGATATTTAATTTCAGATTAGGTCTAATATATATCTCTTAATCTAGTTAGTATTTAGATTAATAAGAGTATTTATCCATTATATCAAAACAAATTGTTTCTATACCCTCAAGTAATATAGCACAAGTGGTTCTACCATTGGCAAGTAATTGATGATTGAGGAAAAGTTCTCTCCATAGTTCTTCTAATGCTTTCATTAATATAAATGGCGCTAAACATCAGATTAAGCTTTCACTTGAAGGCAGTATTATTGTCAAATATACGACATGTTATTCTACAATACAAGATCCAAGATTAACTTCTAGATTTTATGTCATACCATTATTAAGATAAGAAATTTTTTGACTGACAGTGTGAATATGAATATGAAAACCTAGAGTTGTTTCTTTTGAAATGAAACAAAGATCAGTCCAGGGATAGAATCTGTTATTATATGAGAAAAAGAAAAAGTTAATCATGTTTCAGTTAAATAAAAATTGTTTTTTTGTGGAATTGAAGTCATGTACGTTTACCGTGCTCGCTGCACTTTTAGCTGTGGCATATACAATTTTTTAGGAAATGCGGCTTAAACAGGACTTTTGGCTTACTTTTGTAGGGCTGTATCTCCTCAGTGACTGCTGTCACAGCCAAACAAGAGAAAACTGTCTAGTCCACACAACTTAGAGCAGGATTGACAGCTTATAGCATGAATACTTGCCACTTGGCATTTGGGCCTGGTCATCATGTAATGACTGCACGTCATCTGGCATAAGTGGGTTAAAGATATATGCATCTTTGTGCTAAGTATGCTCGAAAGATGTTCAGCAGTTGGGAGTATGTTGTAGATAAGTGAAGATGGTGTATGAAATGCAAGTGTTTGACCGGGCAACAGTCTTCTCTTCTGAACTGGGAATGCTGAAGCGAAGACCAATTTATCCATTCAAGAACCACTGGTCATTTCATCTCTTTATCATAACACTGGAAGCATCTTCCATTGTTATGAGCCTCACTCTACAAAACTGGACATCACCCAAGATAGGGGAGTAGTCCCACGCTCAAGGATCTACAGCTCAGCCTGCAGGTGTGATGTATTCTGAAGAAAGAGAAGCCAGGAGACACTTTTATTTTCCAGAAGGAAACAGTCAGAAAGATACGTCCTCCTTTCATCTAGAGGACAAGAAGTGGGAAAGTGCCATGTACCCATTTAAAGGGGAAGAAACAAATATGTGATCCTTTTCTTCATGGAAACTTTCATATGCATACATTTAATTTGGTGTTAAAGTAGAATCATGATGTATGCATTTGGTGCTTTGCAGGATTGATGACAAATCCTCTAATATTACAAAGCTTTTGTTTGTAAGATATGCACTTGTTAACCATCTTTGATTGCAGTGTTGATTCTATATTTCTAAAAAGGCTTCTTACCTACAGGTTTGCTTATCAGAGATGAATGGCTTGCCATCTTTAGAGCTTCATGTCAGTGGTATGAAACATTTAAAGGTAAGGAATAATTAGAACAATATCATTGACTCATGTCAAAATTAGCTACAAACTTGGCTATAAAAAGAATAATGGCATATTCATAATAAGATGAGTAAATGGAGTTTGTTTGGATTGTAGATTAGTAATGTGCTGCTCTTTTGACAAAAAATTATCTTGACCTAGATAGATAGATAGATAGGTAGGTAGGTAGGTAGGTAGGTAGGTAGGTAGGTAGATAGATAACTCATTACTGCCAAATACCTGAATATGAAAATATTATCAAATTTGCCAAAATTTTTGTATGTGTTATGCATTGAAACCCAATTTTTAACATGAGATTAATTTTTGTGAAAAGGAAATTTTAAAAATGGCTGTACATGTTTATATTTTTTGGACATTCAAAACATGTGGCCCTACACTGTTGATACTTTTTCAATAAATGAAAAAAAATAGATTGGGTTAATTGCTCTTGTGCAGAGTTTGCAAAGTTTAGAACCTTTGAAGTTTAGCTTTTTGTTTTTTATTTAACAATATTTATTTTTCAAGAAAACTAATGATATATCCAAATAAAAGTCAAGGAGTGAAGATGTCAATGTCATTTATTTTTAATATCTGTATTTGTTTCAAGTATAGTCTTTCCTCATTATAATGGATTGATTGATTGATTGTCTCTCTCTCTCTCTCTCTCTCTCTCTCTCTTTCTCTCTCTCTCTCTCTCTCTCTCTCTCTCTTTCTCTCTCTCTCTCTCTCTCTCTCTCTCTCTCTCTCTCTTCATTCTCTCTTTCTCTTTTCTTTCTCTCTCTCTCTTCTTTCTCTCTCTCTCTTCTTTCTCTCTCTCTCTCTCTCTCTCTCTCTCTCTCTCTCTCTCTCTCTCTCTCTCTCTCTCTCTCTCTCTCTCTCTCTCTCTCTCTCTCTCTCTCTCTCTCTCTCTCTCCCTCCCTCCCTCCCTCCCTCCCTCCCTCCCTCCCTCCCTCCCCCTCTCCCCCTCCCTCTCTCTCTCTCTTTCTTTCTTTCTTTCTCTTTTTCTTCTTTCTTTCTTTCTCTCATTGTTATAAGGAAACATAAGCAAAATAAATTGCTGTCCTTAATGTACATTTTACTGCAGATGTTATTAGCAGCTAAAACTGTATTCTCCTTTCAGAGAGTGGCTGTTTATGAGAAGAATAAAGGCAAGTAAACGGGTGATATTGTTGCTGTAATATTATAGCTTAACCCATTCGCCACACGTGGCAAGAATAGATGCCATACCCACTTTGGGACACGTTTATTTATTGTATTTATACATAGATGGCTCCACATGTTCTTAATCACCAAATAGCCAGTTATCAAGGGTTACCTATTTCACCTGTTTACCCTTTTCCTTCACTTTAGAAAATGGATTTTTGTATCATTTCATTGTCTAAAATATTCTAATGCCTATTTAATAATCACAACATCAGTAACAATAATAACAGTATCGATAGCAATGGTATAAATTTTCCCGCCAATTCAATGAATGGGAGAATCAGGATCGGTAACTAGGGCCTACTGACAGACTCCTTGCCGGCTGAGCACATGTGGAGCCATCTGTATGTAACAAAATTCACCAAAAACTACAGAGGACAGAACATAAATCCGGGGCGAATGGGTTAATGTTACAATTGAAATGTATCAGCATTTGCCTGTCCGTTTGGTTTAATGCAAAAGCCTGATGCATCCATGTAATAGGCATGATGGGACCAAAATTCACCCAAGTGAAACATAATGGAAGTGAAGCTGCATGACAAGCCTCACCAAGACAAAGAAAAACAAAGATCTACTCCTTAGCTCCTCCTTGTTCCTACAATCCTCCTCCTGTCCACACCCATGTTGCCTTGGAGGAACAGGTTTGATAACTTTCTGTCATAGGGTGAAAAGCATGTGTATGCCACTCCTTATTTTTTTTATCTGGGTGTATCTAGGCTGGTCATAGGAATTGTTGAATGCTTTTCATTTGATTTTTGCCTGTCTCAGGTTGATGGTGGATGGTGAGTGTCATGATCAGTGTTTTTTTTTGTGTGATTTTTTTTTTTTTTTTTCTAAATCTCTAATTTCTTTTCATATTGTGGATTGTGGGTTTGGTTGTTCTAGGTTTATTTTTCCTTGGTGAGGAAGATGTTCTGAAGGGGATGGTTCTGGAGCATGACAGAGCCTAACAGTTTTGTATAACAGCATAATCAGGTGCAGAAACCACCTACACAGGACTTAGGCTATTCACCTTTGAAATACCCTAGTAGACTACAGTTTGTACTGTAACTAAACACCATAGGATTTCCAGTGTTTTCCCATAGGATATTCCCAGTGGATGCACAGAAAAGGTATATGTGTCCCCCATAGCACATAATTTCTCCCAATGTGAAAGCACTGTAATTCAGTTATCTCCTCCTGGGATGGGATTAACTGGATAGATCTGCATGGAAGACGAGGTTCGCCTGTTTTCACATTGTAAATTGTTCAGTTGTTTTTCTACTCTACAGGCAAGGTTAATTCACAACATTAGGAATTGCTCCTCGCCAATGCTGCACTCTCAATGCTGTTAGGTATTTGGGGTGTTTCCCAGCCTTTTGAGATGATATTGATGCAAATCTTTTTCAGCTTTCCTCTAGGTGGCTCTCTTCTTGCAGTTCCTGACCTTCATGACTAGCTTCCAAATAGGCACATACATTGTCCATGACTGAATAGTACAAATGCAGTGTACCAGCTTTGTCAACCCCTATATCTGTGGGAATCCTTTTATAGTAGAGAGTCTGTGTTGTTTCTTTTCTGTCTCGGTGTAGTTTCTGGTGTTTTTATAAATATTTTTTTGCCTTTGTCAGTCTTTGTCTGTGTAGGAGTGGGTCCAAGTGCCTGTGTACTAAAACAAGTGGCTGTGATCTGCAAGGCTGTGGCAGGAAGTTGCTCTATGGGTCTCCACTATAACTTTTAAAGTTTTGATGCACTCCAGCATAGACCCTTTATAGACAACCAATGTCTCTTAGTCTTGGAATACATAGCTTTGCAGGAATAGGAAAAGGCACAGAATTCTTTGCTTGATGAGGTACTGGTGATTACTTTTGTTAAGGTTACTTACCAGTACAGTGGTAGTTGGGATTCTTTTTTTTTTTTGGTTTGTTTCCTCTTTTTAATTTCTTCTATACCATTTTATCTTTTGTTTTCTTTCTTTTTCTTTTTTTTACTTCTGCATATGTCATTGATTTCATAGGATCATGTGTACCTTTTTTTCTATATATCCCAGTATATTTGACTATATGACATAGAGAACATCACATGCACAGGTCATTGGTACATGTATTGTGATATATGATGAGGCACCATCTACTTCTGTTAGTGCAGTTCTCTGCTTTTACTCCCACATATCTTTATCTATATACTAGTTCACTGAATGTATTGTTCCTGTTTTCTATTTTTATGTCCGCCCTACCATGTTGTTTTTTTTCAGTCTTTTCTCTATAATATTCATACAATGTGCTTTTTTTTGTTTTGTTTTCTTACCTTTTCCTTTCCTTTATATTGCTTATTCCCCCTATTCTCATCTTTGACAGTTGATAAAACAGTAGTTTGATGTTTTTTGTCTGTAGAGGTCTTATGGTGGTATCCCTCCCTTCATGCAGTGCACTTTCTCTTGTTTCTCAGTCTTAGGAACTAAATTGTTAAGCCAGTGTACTATTGGTATAGAGGGGGAGAATAGGGACAAGGGGAGCTGCTTTATTTTTTTTCCCTCCATTGTTTTGGTAAAATTCTAAATGCAGCTTTACTTGCATTATGTTTCACTTATGCATTTTGTTGTATTGAGGGTAACTGCTTTAATGCATTAAGATCTCAACAGACAGAGAAATGTTTTTCTATTCTTTCTCATTATGACAAGATCCAGTTTATAATATATATATGATGTTTATAGTAATAGCTACTTCTTAACCTTCATTCAAAATTAGATTTAATATTCTCGGATAGTTGATACTGTGAATGTCCTTGTATAATTTTTTTTCTTTTGTTATCTCTTCACTCAGCACTGATTTGCCAAGATGGAAGAAACCAAGCTGTACAGCAAATGCTTGAACAGAAACACAGTGAAGATGTCAAGAGCAAGGATAACATGACAAAATCTAATAACAGGTACTTCAAAAAGACATTGAAGTAAAGTAAGCTTGTAATTGTAATGTGGTGATATATGTATATACCAGTTTGAGTGAAACAGCAGTAGTTATATATGATTCCGTAGAAAAAATATTGGACATTTTTTTATGCTGCTTGTATTTTTACCCAGGAGTAAGAGAGATGGAGAGAGAGAGAAAATCCGATATAGGGAAGGAGACAGAAGTAGAGATAGAGAGAAAGAGAGTGGCCCGTACAGAGGTGAAGATAGAAATAGAGATCGAGAGAGAGAGGGAGGCCAGTACAGAGGTGGAGACAGAAGTAGAGTTGGAGAGAGAGAGAGTAACCTGTACAGAGATGGAGGCAGAGATAGGGAGAGAGACAGAAATAGGAGTATAGAGACAGAGAGGTTTGGAAGTAGGGACAGAGACAGAAATAGGTTTGGCAGTAAGGACAGATACAGAAATGTAAGTCAAGAAAGAGACAGATACAGAGATGCAGATACAGCAAAAGGTGGTTACAGAAATGGAAACAGAGATAGAGACAGAGACAGATACAGAGATAGCAGAGATGGAGACCGATATGGAAGCAGGGACAGAGATCGAGTTGGAAGCAGGGACAGAGATCGAGTTGGAAGCAGGGACAGAGATCGAGTTGGAAGCAGGGACAGAGATCGATATGGGGGATTAAGCAGAGACAGAGACAGATACAGAGGTGGAAGTGGCAGCAGGGATGGAGTCAGATACAGAGGTAGAAGTGGAAGCAGGGATAAAGGTGGATACAGAGATAGAAGTAGAAGCAGAGATCGGGACAGATACATGGGTGGAAGTATAGGCAGAAACAGAGACAGAGATAGAAATATAAGCAGGGAGAGGAACTTCCCATACTCAGACTCTTCAGAGCCTCCATATGACAGAGCAGGATACAATGATGGCGGCTTTGATTATCAAGGTAAGGACACGACCAAAGGTGTTCATGAAGTATAAGTGTGTGTTTCCATTATTTTCATATATTACATCAAAGGGGGAAAGTATTGTTATCTGGCTATTGAAGGTTTTTATAAATAGTATGTTTTTTTTTTTTTTTTTTTTTTCCCCTCTTTTCATAAAGATCAAACACAGAGGAGATATGATTCCCCTTATAGAAGAGGGAGTCCAGTGCATCAGGGTAATGCCAGTTTATCATATGGCAACTACACATATTCAAGAAGAGGAGATTCACCATACCAGTCGACAGAGAACTCATTTTACCAAAGGAGAGCGAGCCTACACCATGGAGGAGAGAGTTCATATCAGGAAAGGTATTACAGATACTTTGAGCTTAATAAATCACATACATGAGAGGGGTTTGATAGTTTCATTTATTTTTATCAGCTTTCTCCTTTACTTTTTCATGCGTGTATGTGCATATATACATACACTCTTGTATTTCATATTTTCCAATATTGTGTAGGGTTCCTCACCACCACATACTTGTCTTTTTACTAATAAATTCACACTGACCTTTCCAGGGGAAGGCTCAATGACATTCAGGGTGCTCCTCAGAGTCAGTTTCAGAGACAAGAGCAAGCACCTGCGGCTCCAGTTTTCACAGCTGCAGATTACCAGTTGAATTTCCCCCACACAAATCCTCAGGCTCCAAAGGAAGATGTTCTTCAAGGTGCAGTCGGGCATTGGCTGATGCATATGGTTTGTATTTATTTTTATTTCTATATCTATTTATTTGTGTGTGTGTGTGTGTGTGTGTGTGTGTGTGTGTGTTTGTGTTTGTGTTTGTGTTTGTGTTTGTGTTTGTGTTTGTGTGTGTGTGTTTGTATGTGTGTGTTTGTGTGTGTGTATTTGTGTGTATTTGTGTGTACAACTGCACATACACATGTATGTACACATACATGTATGTGCATTCTTGATTGTCTGTATATGAACCATGTGTATTCAGGAGTTTTTGACAGTTTCAGCAAAAAGTTGTTTTATTTGATTTTCTTTGAAACTTAGAAACTGGGCTTAAGAGTTAACATACCTAAGCAAATAATATACTAAAGTAAATCCATTAGTATCTTGTGTACACTTGAAACATTGCTGACTTAGTATTACAAGTAAAGAAACATGCTTATCAAGCAATCTAAAACTTGCAGGCATCATGCAGTATGGAGAGTAAGGAAGATGTTGACATGGGCTTAAAGATCATAAGCCTGTTCCTGAAGCCACTCAAGGAATACAGTTGCAGACTACAGGATACATCATCCTCAGATGTGTGTTTTCTTCATTTATTTTCTTGATGTAGATTTAAGGATTGGTATTCAAGTACCAGAAACAAGAGTGTATATATTCTACATATTAATGGATATTTGAAGCAAAATTGGAATATATGTAATATGTTTTCAGATTGTAAGTTTTTTATATTTTTAACATTTTTAACTTTTTTTTTTCTACAGCTGATAGCAGCAACAGAGGTTAATTTGCGATCACTACGAGAATATAACCTCTCCAGCAAGCAGACAATAATGGACTTTTTATTGAAAAATAGTGCACAATCAACCTTGAGGCAAACACAAAATGAACAACAGCACTATGATTACTAATACTTTTTAAGAGATTAAAGGATGCAGATGTTTTGTAAACATTCTTAGTGGACTTTATTATAATTGATATGCTATTAACACAAATTTTTATATTTGTTTTCTAAGTGAAGTTGTTTGTTTTTTTACATTTACCAAAATTCTTGTTAATCCAATACTAATGGGTATGGCATGCCCACTGCGAGTTTACTTTATTAACTATTTTTACACGTAAATGGTTACTCTTGTACTAAGTCACTAATGAACCTGTCTCGCCCATTTTATTTTGCTGTTACTAATGTTTATAACATTATAGTAATTATAATGTCTATAATAAAAGTAACACCATGAATTTTCATAGCATAAGTAAAAAAATACGTTTTTCCCGCCAGTTCAAGGAAAGGGGAAATCAGACAAGGTCACAAGGTCTACTAATTGACTCCTTTGTGGCTAAGCACTAGCAGAGCCATCTATGTGCAGAGACATTTCATTAAAAAAAATAGGTAATGAAAACAGCATTTTTCCTGGCAGCATGTGGTTAAAAAAAATATGTAAGAAATTGAATTGTTAGCATTGATATACCACTGCATATGAAATCATTGTATCCTATTTTTACACTAATTTTTGTTGTTACTAGTTTCTGAAATGATGCTCCAACAGATTTTTTTTATGTTCTTATATTGCACTTTATGTAAGTTTGTAAGATATACTTCACAAATAGAATGTTGTACAGGTAACTGATGTAATAGTTATAAAATTTAAGAGATCGTATTTGTGTTTGTTTATAGTCCTGAGGAAAAGATAAGTATCACATGGTATCACAGTAATAAAGAAACCACATTCATGCATATTTCATGTTTAATTTTTTCTGTGGCTATACCCTACAATGTTGTGAGAATGAAGGCGATGGCCTCTTGACATATACAGTCTGGGATAAACGAAAGATCATTGTCATTGAAAGTATAGTCCCTGCAGGTGTTCTCCACACTATTAACTCTGTGCTATGTGAAGTTGCCCTAAATTGTTATTGTGCCACAGGTGGCAGTTAGTACATAATTACTAGATTAGATGATCATTTTACCATTACTATTATTATTACCATTACAAGTAGTAGAAGTAATTCTATGATCTTGATCATGGTTATTATTATTATTGTTTTTACATTAATGCCCCCCCCCTCATTACATTGCCCATAGTTGTGGAGGAGGCTTAGGAGGCAAGGACTGGAACCCAATTCTAGGGAACTCCCCTGCCTTGGGACTCAGCTCTCGACTCAACTAATTTTGCAGGGTCTTTTTTTCCTCTCCTGCTTTTTTGTTTCTGTCCCTTCCCCAACCCCTTCTACTATCCACTTCCTAAGTTGTGGCAAACATCCCCCCCAATCCAGCCCCCTCCTCTATCTGCAAGATACTCTCATCTCTGATCCTCTCCAAGTCACTAATGAACTGGGTGACTTTTTCAGCCAGTTCAGTAGTGGTTCTCACCTTTCTCCACACTTCTCTTCTATTAAGACCATCAGGGAACACACCCCCATTATCTTCACCCTATCCTCGCCAAGTCCTATATAGTTCCTTTATCTTCCTCTGAATTCAGTGCTGCTTTACTGCTGTGCCACAACACTCATGAAGGCCCTAACGGTATTCACTACCATATCCCAATGGCGCCGGGTGTACAAAACAAAACAAAAAAAACTCTACGCTTAAGCAAGCAAAGGCGGCGCGCCGACTTTGAGCGCGTGAGTAGGGGACATCAGCCCGATTCACTGGCTCGCCGCGCTTTGCCGCGCCGCCGGCTCGTTTGGCTGCACGCCAGCTTTCGAGCGTTTTGTTTGCACGCCGATCGGCGTCACCCGGCACCAAGGGGATATGCTCCAACACCTTCCATCTTCCTCTCTATCCTTCCTATTAACAATTTTAAACCACATACGAACGTCATGAAATTTTCCTTCTCAATGGTGAGACGCTCTTATAGCCAATAAATCGGGTACCCTCCCTGAAGATTACCCCCCCCCCCTCTCTAACCAGTAGCTTGTGCAAACTATTAGAGCGAATGGTTAACTTCCACCATTTGTGGTATCTTGAATCTGACAATCTTCTCGCTCCTTCCCAATTTGGTTTCCGCTGTGCCCGAAGCATATTTCGGGACACATTACATCTGCATTTGCACGCCATGAAACCGTATTAGCCATATTCTTTGACCTTGAAAAAGCATATGATACTACATGGCGGTACCTTATTCTTCAAAATTGTCCTCCCTAGTCATACGCGGAAACATGGGGTCTTTATAAAGTCTTTCCTCTCTAAACATACTTTTCAGGTCAAAACTGCCTCTTCGCATCATCCTTCTTTCCTCACTTCGAAGGCATCCCACAAGAGAGTGTGTTCAGCAACACTTCATTACTTCTTGCTGTTAATCACATTGTCTCAGTTCTACCACCATGAGCCTGGTCATCACTATATGTTGTTGATTTAACCATCTTCGCCTCTGGCACATCCATACCAACTCTGCGCCAATTCCTTCAGTCTCAAATATCAGTATCTTCCTGGGTTACTAACCATGGCTTCCACTTTTCTACCTCCAAATCTTTCTCCATCTTTTTCTCTCACGCACGTGAAGGTCCCTAACCTCCACTCTTCTTATATGGCACTCCACTCCAATACAATCCCTCTGGCAAATTCTTTGGCGTTATTTTTGACTCCAAATTGTCCTGACGAGACCATATCTTTTACATTAAAGAAAAGGCTCGCCGCCGTCTCCGAATCTTACAAACTGTCCCATATATCCTGGGGCTCAGATCGCAAAACTCACCTCCATCTTCATGATACCTTGATCCAATCCACTCTCGATTATGGATGTCATATCTACTCCTTTGCCTCAACCTCCCTCCTTGCCCATATTGATACAATCCACCAATTCGGTCTTCGCTTATCCCAAGGCGCCTTCCGCTCTTCTCCAGTTGACAGCCTGTTCTCTGAATTAAGCAAACTATCTCTCGACGCCGTGCCTATCTCTGTCTTCAATACTATGCTCGATTCCACCAACTTTCCCTCACCAAACTACTATCCCACGATCCCTCCATCCTGCCTTTGCTTCTTTTCCACGTTTACCTACTCCTTTCTCCATTCGCATGGATACCCTCCTCTCCCATTCCCCTTTTCCCCATGTCAAATATTCGCCCTGCTGTCTTTCTCATTCATTTCCTTGACTATGTCTCCAGTATTCATGTTTACACTGGTGGCTCCAAATCCACCTCCAGTGCTGGTTTCGCTGTAACCTTCCCAACTCGCACTTTCAAATACCCCCTCCTACCTGAATCCGGTGTCATTACTACAGAACTGTAATGTTTTTTTTCCTTAAACACATATACTCACTTCCTTCTTCCTCTTTTACTATTTTTTACCGTAAGTCATTAACTCAAAGTCAAGACACTCGACCTATCCCCTTGTTTGTAAGACCCAAAACTGATTGTTCTACCTGTCCACACGCCATAAAACTATTAGATTTTGCTAGGTGTCCAGCCATGTTTGAATCCCCGGCAGGTCTCCGCACTAATAAATTACATACTGTAAAACTATCAGTCTCCTGGTCAGTTCCATTTCATCGGAACAGACGTTGGGAGACGGCTCTCGCCCGTTTACGCGTTGGCCACACCCGTCTAACACACTCCCATCTGATGTCACGTTCTGATCCACCTCTATGTAATTTCTTTCAATTCCACACATTCTGTTGTCCTGCCCACGCTTTGATGCAGCCCATAGAATATCCTCCATTCACCGACCTCCCAACCTATCAGACATCCTTACAGAATCTCACACTTTCTGCTTTGACCACCTGTTCTCCTTCCTTAGACGCATACATATAGTTCACTTGATCTAATCCCTCTACCTCGCCCGACTTTTACCCATTCACTCGTCAACTCAACTTTTTCAATATTAATCTAGATAACTGACGCATAACAACAACAACTAACCACTAACTCAACCGCCCTTCACTACCCTTTACTGTACCTTCCTGTAGCGCTACATGACCTTAGATGTCTAGCACATTTATCTTGTGTTTAACCATTAACCATCATACTACTGGCAGGGGTGTATCACAATCAGTGATTAATAATAATATTTAAATAAATAAATAAATATATATATTTAATATATATATATATATATATATATATATATATATATATATATATATATTTATATATATATATGTATATATATATATATATATATATATATATATATATATATATATATATATGTATATATATAATGATGTGTATATATATGTTTATGTATATATATGTATATATATTCATATATATATATATATATATATATATATATATATATATATATATATATATATATATATTTATATATATATATATATATATATATATACATATATATATATATATATATATATATATATATATATATACGTGTATATGTAGCTGTATATATATATATATAAATATATATATATATATATATATATATATATATATATATATATATATATATATGCACATATATATATATCTATATATATATACACACATGTACACACATACACACACACACACACACACACACACACACACACACACACACACACACACACACACACACACACACACACACACACACACACACATACACACACACACACATATATATATATTTATGTATACACACAAACACACACACACACATGCATATGATATTTATATATAGGTATATATATATATACATACATATATATATATATATATATATATATATATATATATATATATATATATATATATATATATGTATATATATATATTTGTATATATATATACATATTATATATATATATATATATTATATATATATATATATATATATATATATATATATATTCATATATATATATATATATATATATATATACATATATATATATATATATATATATATATATATATATATATTCATATATATATATATATATATATATATATATATATATATATATATATATATATATATATATGTATATATATATACTATATATATGTATATCTATATATGTATATACATATACATATATACATGTATGAATGTATACACTCCTGTATAATCAATAATGTATGAATGTATATCCGCATTTTTACATCTACGTTCCTTATCTCTCCTCCGCATCCCTGGTCTCTTGTCGAAGCCCGATGTAAATAAACCTAAACAGCAGGGAGGTCGAAGAACCGATCGGTCTAAAACCCTATAAAAGAAAGAAGAAGAAGAAGAAAAACCGATCGATTTCTTCCTTTTTTTTTTTTTTTTTGAAGTGAACATCTGAAGAATCTCATGTTATGAACGCTAATCTCAAAGCTGATGCAGGAAGGAGAAGACCATGAATCCGTCCAATATATAGATGTAGAATTAGTCGGTGATAAACGACTGAAAAGCTAAAAAGTCGGACGGAAAAGAACAGGAAGGACACCAACGAAGGAGATATACCGTAATATACATTTAGGTAGGAAGTATGTCGTGCTTATTCACTCTGTAGATGGCTCAAATGAAATAAAACAAAATACAATGGGAAAGTGAGTGAAGAAAAATGGATTTCCCACTGATAATTTTCGAGGGACTTTACCCAAAAGAGTAGCTTTTTTCCCTATACCAAAATATTACAATTGCATAAAGTATGGACATGGGGTAGTAACAAATAAAACAAAAAAAATATATATATATATAACAAATATAGCCAGTATGGGCATAATCTTAACCCCTTGGTGCTGGGTATGACGTGTACGTACGTGCTATGCCCACAGTGAGTACTTGTTTGATTGTTTTTACGCATAGATGGCAACACTTGTACTAACTCCCCAATGAGCCAGTTACGAGCACCGCCTGTCTCGCCCGTTTACCCGTTTCTTTGATTTACAAAACATTTTACGTAATCTTATTTTGCTGTTACTAATGTTTAAAAAAATTATAAAAATTATAATGTTTATGATAAAAATAACACCATCAATTTTCATAGCACTAGTGAAAAATACATTTTTCCCGCCATTTAAATCAGGCGCAAGCAGAGCCATCTATCAGCAGACATTTCACGAAAAACATAGAAAGTGGGCACAATATTTGCCCCATTTTTTGTTCATTTTCCCTGGCACCATTGGGTTAAGGAATGGAGAAATTCCCCACGTTTTTTTTTGTGACAAAAATCATTTACCAAACAAAAGAGCACAAAATTCACAAATTGGCACAAGAATTAAACAAAGAATATAACTTATAAATAGACAGCAACTTAAAACCTCTAACAAAAAAGACAAATAAGAAACAAATACAGTAACAAACGATCATAAAACAAAAACAACATAAACACATAACAAACCCATGAAAGCACAGCACCTTAATCAGCAGAAGAAAACAGAACGCAAACATACGCACTGACATTAACAAAACCTCAAAGCCTCACTTTAAGTCAAAGAAACAAACCAAAAAAAAAAAAAACTCCAAACAGAAATAATAAGTACATCAAACAACATTCCAAGACAAATACAAACAAAGACAAAAAGAAAACTTATCTAAAACAAACACAAAACTAGCTATGCCAATAATCCTCAAAGAAAACAGAAATGATAATAAAGAAGGAAAGGAAGAGGATTTTTCCTGGATGGTTAAGGTGATAACAATATTGATAAAAATGATCAAAAGCATTAATTCAAAACATAAAGGATGTTATAAACGAAATTAGCAGTATTTAAAGATCTGTTTGACTAATATTGACCCAAATTAGTTTAAGGAAGAATATCGCTTGCTGTTGAATATTTACTAACAAAAAAAATCACTTGAGAGGTGTATAGACTCTGTCATGCCAAAATATACTTGTTTGCCTTTGCTAGAGCAAAAAATGCAAGGGCAATGGCAGTCTCTGATTTGGACATACCTAATTTGCTTATGTTATATTTTTTATGCCTAACACCATTGTTTTATGTACTCTATAACCATTATCATTGTATTTTTTTCTGTTAGGGCAGTCCTACTCTGGACAATAACCCTGATCTAGGTTGGATGGCCTACAGCCCGAAGTCCAGCACTGATGCTGCATCAAGCTGCAGCATCAGTAATTTGCAATGTGGCAAAGATCAGAACCATTTAAATTCTGGCTGGCTAGAGCTTGACTGGTTCCTTATTTGACAGTAAAATGTTAAGGGGTTTTACAAGCTTAACCTTGCCAGTGGAAGTTGATTGATTTTGCATGCTATATTGAACATATTAATGTATTCTCTAATTTATGTTATGAAAATATCTATTTATTTTTTTGTTGTTAGAACCACATACTTTATTTATTGAGTAAGTATTTTTTTTTTTTTAGGTAACTATAGTGTGACTGCCTGTCATATGACTGATTACCAATATTTTGTGAATGTCAGATGATCCAATTTAGATATTTGACAAGCTGCCCAAAAGATTTAGTGATATGTGCAATTGTACTGTAGAAGGGGCATTATTTTACTCTGATTTTGAGTTTTAAACTTGGTGGTTAATGTTTTGGTACTAAGTGTTGAAAGATTTTCATTTGGTCTATATAGTATTAAATGAATCAAGGCTTAATGAACAATATGTTGTAAGAGCTTCTTTCTTTCACAGGTTGGTCTTGCAAACATGAATGACAACAAGCGCACAAAGGTAATAAAGCTATAATATGATGTAGCACACACACACACACACACACACACACACACACACACACACACACACACACACACACACACACACACATACATACATACACACACACACACACACACACACACACACACACACACACACACACATACATACATACATACATACATACATACACACACACACACACACACACACACACACACACACACACACACACACACACACACACACACACACACACACACCCTCACCCTCATACACACATGCACATATATGCATGCACGGCAAAAACATACATGCATACACACACCATACACACATACACATGCACAAACACGCATGCACACGCACGCACACACACGCACACACATGCACGCACTGTAATACAAGTTTATTTATTGTATTTACACATAGATGGCTCTACAAGTTCTTAATTACCAAATAGCCAGTTATTAGAACTACCTGTTTCACCTGTTTATCCATATCCTTCACTTTTGTAAATTGTGTTTTCTATCATTTCATTGTCTAAAATATTTCAATGAAAATTTTAAAATCATAACATCAGTAACAATAATAACAGTATCGATAGCAATGGTATTAATAAGAAAAACACATTTTCCTGCCAATTCAAGGAATGAAGAAATCAGGATCGGTCACTAGGGCTACCGATAGACTCCTTGCCGGCTGAGCACATGTGGAGCCATCTGTAGGTAACAAAATTCACCAGAAACTACAAGGGACAGAATATAAATCCGTGGCGGTTGGGTTAATATTTTTCAAAATTTATTTACTTGTCATTGACTTAGATTTAAAACTGTTTTCTTCTTCTTTAACAGAGTGCAGGGAATTTGCAGAATGACAGAGGTAAGGCAAATCTAGGATTATTGAATATATAAGTATAGTGTGTGTGTGTGTGTGTGTGTGTGTGTGTGTGTGTGTGTGTGTGTGTGTGTGTGTGTGTGTGTGTGTGTGTGTGTGTGTGTGTGTAGATATATATGTGATATAATATAATATAATATATATCACATATGTATATATATAAATGCCTGTTCACATACATGTAATCTGTAGCTGGAAACAATTAATGAAATGCCTATATGGACTGTCATTATTTTTTACAGGAGGTGATAATCAGTTTAGTTGCAATCAGTATGGCCAGAACTCAGGGGATTGGCAGTATGATAATAAGTCCTTCAGTACAAATGCAGTTGACAGTTCTGTAAATCGTCCTTTACATAGGTAAGAAGAGGCTGACTCCTGTGTTTTGATTTTTAAGTATTACTAGTTAGAAAATACTCTTTTGACTATCATTTTTATGAATACATTGAACCACCTTTCAGAATGTTAAAGGCATCCTGTACTCATGTTTAATGAAATATTATAGTTCATATATAGTATGTATGTAACACTTACCCCTGCAATATGTTTTAGCAGTGGTGATTCACAGAATAACAGCTCATACAGGGGCCAGCAGAGGAATGCCCCCTACAGAAGTGGTCAGCATAGGGACAGCACACAAAGAAGTGCTCCCAGCAGAAACAACTCCAGTGGAAGCAACTCTACTTGGAGAAACACATCCAGAGATAATTCCATGAGGGGAGGCCCAAGCAGGGATGGTCCATACAGAGCTCACCCTTATAGACGTAGCCCAAGTATGGATAATCCTGCCAGGGAGAGGATCAACTCTTATCGAGCTTACGGTCAGTTGGTTTGTTTAGTTGCAAGGTTAGATGGTGGCAAATGCAAGTTTTGTATGTGTTCAAAGTTGTATGTGATTGCCCTTATTAGTCCTCATCCTTTTAACTTTGATGGAATCATTTTGATATGAAATATTAAATATAAGATTTTGATGTTAATTAGATAGTTTGCATTACACTGGAATAGCTCAGATTTTATAGTTAATTCTGGACTTTTTAGCAATGATTTAAATCTTGATAAACAAAATAAACTGGAACATTGGGGTGTTCAGCCTTTGATGCTGATATTGCATATATGACACAGAGATAGCTACGCAAGCAGTTATCAGATGCTAGACCAGACTGACTGTACCTATTAACCCCATACCTTGAAATTTAATAGTAATTGATGATAATAATAGTCCATTTATTATAATAATAATATTACTAATAGAAGTAAAAGATTTTTTTTGCAAAAAGTCAAGGAATGGGGCAAATATGTGAGGTTAAGTTAGTATTTGCCTTTCTGGAGACATCTGTGCATAAATAAAGTTAATGAAACAAAACCAGGACCCAGTGTCAGTGTAATTAAATGCTCTAAAGAATTAATGACTACATATTTCTCAATACTTTGCTTTTGCATTGGGAAATTATTTCAAGGCATTGGACTGAATTCATGACTAGCTTGATATGTCTATTGTTTAGCTTTTATTTTATTGTGTTGCCCATCCTAAAAGATATCATTTCCAGTCCTATTTTGTCTCACTGTGCTTAATTTATTTTTTGTAACTTCTCCCATCACAAGTATTCCATTAGAATAATTCAAGATCATCATTTGATGGAAAGGACCAGGTTTCACTCATGATCTTCAGCTTGTCTGTTTCACCCACTGATGTCAGGAGACTCCCCATGACTTAGGCATCATATCTTGCATGAATATATCACACTTTCTGTGTCATTTGCCATTTTCTGACATTTGCAGTATCAGAAAAAAAAAATCCACTGCTTTTGCACCATAAATCTCTTCTCCTCACTATTTTTTTTCCTGCAATTGCCATCATCTTTCCTTCTTTTCAGATTTGTTGTGCAAAATGTTGACAAATATCTTTAGGATAAATGAGAGGAAGTCGACAAACTGGAATCACATCTTTATCTTTGCGTTACAGATCGCAGTAGCGAGAGAGAAACTCCTCAGACACAAAGTAGTGATGTAGGAGGAATTCTTGGTCGGAGTGGGTAAGCATGCACTTTATTTTCAAGTTTTTTTTTTTTTTTTTTTTTTTTTTTTTTTTTTCTTCTTTTTTTTTCTTTTCTTTCTTTCTTTCTTTCTTTCTTTCTTTCTTTCTTTCTTTCTTTCTTTCTTTCTTTCTTCTTCTTCTTCTTCTTTTCTTTTCTTTTCTTTTCTTTTTTTTATGCATTCAGTCAAATTATTGAGTGTGAGTTAGTGGGCATGTGATTGGCCAAATTTGTGTACGTGACTTATAAAAGTAATGGTGTTACAATTATTGTTCCTTACGTAAAAATGCAACTTAGGCCTTTCTTCATCTTTGGGGTTTGGATGGAGTTACATCCAAACTTAGCCGGCTAAGAGACTATATTTTCATGAATCCAACTTATACATGCTTCCAAGGAGACCAATTCATAAAGTAACAAGCAAACACTGAAAATTACCAAATTATTTATAAAAAAATGTAATGTGATTACTCCCACCACTGAGGATAACTCACTAATAATGTGAGAGTAATTTGGTTTGACAAACCATTTTCAAAGAAAGAGACAGACAGACAGAGACAAAGACAGAGAGAGGGAGGAAAATGAACAGAAAAAGTCACCCGTAAGCTGTATAGTAACAGGTTATGCATTTTCACAGGGGAAACACAAGCAAAAGACATGACACTGCACTGGGCGATTGCAGCTACAATGGTGACACAAACTACAGACAAGTTGCTCCACCACCTCCACCGTGCTTGAATCCTGCTGTGTCTGGTGCTAATTCAGGCAATCAGGGAATTAATGACTTCCTGGCTGAGAAGTTGGTATGTAAGAATTGTATCTTGAAGTTGTTGTATTGGAATGATAGTCGAAGAAGATATTAAGTTCAAACTGGGATATTGCTCTAAAAGATGGGTGGATTGGTTGCTCAGATTAGTGGTAGAATCCACTGAGATTGATTCTGAAATTCTGAAAAAAACGGTCAGTGATTAGCTTATAGTCAGCAGTTTCCTTAACCTGATGCTACCAGGGATGGCATGTATGTATATGCCAGTCCCAAGGTAGTTTCGTTTTCTAACTGTCTTTACATGCAGATGTTTCTACAAGTACTTAGAAACCAAGGAGTCAATTACTAGTACCATCCAACACACCTTTTATAATGGTGTTAGTAATGTTCCTAACAGTATGATGATTATATTGTCAATAATAAGGATAACAGCATCAATGATAACAATAGTGATGCCATTAATAAAAAAAGAAGAAAATAAAAAATCATGAAAATTCAAGGAAAGGTGAAATCAGGTGAGGTCACAAGATCTACTAATTCACTCTGCTCTGTGGTGGCAGAGTACTTGTGAAGCCATCTGTGTATAGAGGCATTTCACAAAACACGAGTACAGTAATCTTTACATTTTCTTGGCGGTATTGGGCTAATTTAAATAATCAATGGAAATAGGGTCTTAATTCTGGGTAACAGTTTGGTATTGGTACTTGAGAGTCTGATAGTATTCATAGGCTTATGATGTGAAATACAGTTCTAGAATATTGTTCATAGACTATAAAGATATTATGGAAAGTTTCTAGGCTTTGATACTTTTAAAGAGGGCCTTGTTCTTGATATATTATACAGTCCTCTGTAGTATTAATTAATTTTAAAATTAGAAAAAATATGAATAGGAGACATATTTTGTTTCATACCTTGTATATCTAGCTGTTGAATTCCAAAATTATATATTTTTTATTCTGTACAAAACATTTCCATGTATCCTTTATTGTAGGAATATATTTAAATAACACAGGAGCTGTCTGATATTTTTCGTCTGGTTTTGTCATTATTATATTCTTAAAATAAATTATTTGCTTTGCACTTATTAGCAATAATTGAGAAAGTAGTGGTAATTGAGAAAGAAAAGAAGAAAGATTTGACATAATATTTTATTTTGTTATTACAAACTTCCATTGCAGGGTGAATATTCTGTGAACAGTAGTGCAGAAGCACAGCAAGCTTTGAAGATCATCAACATGTTCTTAAAACCCATTCAAGAATATAATATCAAGCTTCAAGATGCAAAAGCCATTGCTGTGAGTATTTGCATGAGTTCATATGATTGAAAACATTTTGACAAAGCATTATTTGAGAAACTTATGTACTAGGTGCATTTGTGGAGTTTCTTATTTAGGTGTACTCATACACGATGCAAGTTTTTCTTTCTTTTCTGTATTTCCTTTTTCTTTCTTTTTTTCTTTTTTTTTCTTTTTCCTTTTTCTTTTTTTTCCTTTTTTGTTTTTCTTCTTTTCTTTTTTCTTCTTTACTTTTTTCTTTTCTTTTCTTTTCTTTTCTTTTTTCTTTTCTTTCTTTCTGTCTTTGTTATTATTATTATTATTATTAATTTGTTATTATTTTTTCTGCATCTAATACTCACACTTACAGAAGAGTTTTCCTGTTGAATGGTAGTTCAAATACTCTTATATGATATAGGAAAACATTTAAATTTGAAAAACATGTAAAACTTTCTCACTTTGATTATATTTATTTGCAGCTGGTGAGTGTGGCAGAGATGAATATTCAGACACTTATGGAACGAGATATCTTCTCTTAGTGCTTGTGATAGCTGTGAATGTTCTCAGAATGTGAAGGTGGAAAGAGTAACAGTATATAAAATGTAATTCTTGGAAGGTGGTTTTTGAACAAAGGAACAACAATGAAAATGTTTTTTGAACAAATGAACAACAATGAAAATGTTTTTTGAACAAAGGAACAACAATGAAAATGTTTTTTGAACATATGGTGTTCATCGCGTGAGAGTTGATGTAGGAGTATTGGGGATATGTCGCTTTAACTCATTCACGCCGGGTAAAAATGAACAAAAAATGGGGAAAATGCTGTTCTCATTTCTTATATTGTTTAATGAAATTTCTCTACGCTAGATGGCTCTGCCTTACCTGATTTCACCTTTACTTGAATTGGCAGGAAAATGTATTTTTACTAGTGTTACGAATATCGATGGTTATTTTTATTATAAACAGTATAATTACTATAATGTTATAAACATTAGTAACAGCAAAATAAGATAACGCAAAATTATTTCGTAAATTAAAGAAAAGGGTAAACAGGCGAGACAGGTAGTACAAGTACAAGTGTAGCCATCTATGTGTGAAAACAATTAAACAAGTAAACTCACAGTGAGCCTGTCACGTATACATGACGCCCGGCGCGAATGGGTTAAGATTTGAAAGATAATGCGAATGACGATTGTATTGGTAACATTTTAAAAATTTGATGATATGAGGTCGTATTCCTACTATTTTTTTTTCTCTCCTTCCATTTATTATACTGCAACATAATTTACTACTTATTATGAGTTATGCATGTGTTTTTTTTTTTTCTAACATTTTCATTAAGTAGTTAATGAGATTATTGAAATGATAAGATCTGCTGATGAAGATGCATTATGGTTTAATATAGTCCTTTTTTGTAGAAACACCTTAATCAAAATTGAGGCATTGTGTCACTATAATGCTGTCTGTATGATATGTGAATCTGTTCTGGAAAATGCCTTTTATGTAAAGACAAATAAAATCTGTGATGGCCTAATATGGTAGAAATTTGAAATCCTTAGAGAAAAATTAAAGAATCTTTAATAGGAATTAAGTTATATTGAAAGTTATATATATATATATATATATATATATATATATTATTATATATATTATTATATATATATGAAGTCTGGTGCAAAGGTTAGAGTGATACCAATAAAATAAGCTGAAATTGTAATAGGAAGCAGACCCCATGTGAAGGAAGGAGAATTCATGCCATTTTCATCTGGTCTCTAGAGAACTGATGTAAAGCTAATATGTTTATAATACAAGGCAGTAGTGTGGGTGTCTGAACCCCCCCAATCCCTTGCCTGTTGTAGTCGTGTTAGGGCTTAGGAGGTGGAAACTGGGACCTAATGATGGGGAACTCCCCAACCTTGGGACTCAGCCCTTGACTCAACTAATTTTGCATGGTCTTTTTTCCCTTCCTACTTTTTCATTTCTGTCCCTTCACCAATCGCTTCTACTATCCACCTCCTAAGGTGTGAGAGCCGTGCTGAAAGGATGAAAGGCTGTGCCAGTCCTGAACAGCCTGAGGGAGCCATAGGCACGGTATTCCCCTGCTTTAGTTACCTAGCCCTTACTCCTCAAGGGGACCCTTGTTTTTCTCCCCAACATACTCCAGGCTTACCATGGCCAATCATGAAGACGTAACTCCACTATTAGGGGCAATGAGACTTGCCCCTTCATCAAATAGCCCTAATGATTCAAACCCTCCCGATTCCCTGACCCCAGGCTCTCCTTTGACCACGGCTCCAAACACTGCAATAACTACCCCCTCGTCAATGCCTACTAGTACTGTAGTCAACACTCAACCCCCAAGAGACATTTCCACTCTCCCAACAGGCTCAACTTCAACACCTCTACCCCCACAACCTTCAACATCAACTACCCCATCCTCCCTTATTAATACCTTACAGCCTTATAGCCCACCTCTCCATAACACTACCTCCCTCAACACTACTCCCTCTTTGTCACGCCCCCACCCTTCTACCACCCCTGTCTCTACAACAATCTCAAATACTCTATTTAGCCCAGCCAAATGGAACTGATTTTTCATGATCCCTCCCACAGCTCCCTACTCTGACATCACCCTTCTGTTCCAGCAATGTCTCCAAAAACAAGTAGACAAAGTCTCTTTCCGTAGCCGACCCGACCGCTCCTGTCTTGTCACAGTAACCTCTAAATCCCAAGCTATAACATTAGCAAAACTAACTGATCTATATGGTAATCCCATCCTTGCAGAACCTCATCCAACCCTCAATACTTGCACAGGAACTGTTTCAATCTCCCCAGCAAATTGCCCAATCTATGACAAAGATTGGTCAGATTGTGGAGAAGACTTACTCGCCTGTCTCACAGACCATGATGCGACGTCAGTACAATGCTACTTCATTCCCCCCATAGGTCATCGTAAGAAACCCACTAACATCGCCAAAATTACTTTCCGTAGACATGACCTTCCCTTTAACGTTTACATAGGGGGAGAATCCCTCCCTGTCCGACCATACCAACCTCCTCCTCGTCAGTGCCAAAATTGTTGGCGTCTAGGACACCCAGCTAAACATTGCCGTTCCACAGCCAGATGCCCACTATGTGCCCAACCTGGTCATACTCGATCAAACTGCTCTGCACAGTCACGCACATGTGCCAACTATGGCGGCCCCCATAATGTATTTTATAGGGGCTGTCCCACCTACAAATCTGAGTCTGAGGTAGCAACTCAGATTCAAACTTGGACTCACACTACGTGAAGCCAGACAGGAAGCA